TGTGACGAGCGACATTACAGAAGGTCATGTCACTTTTAACTGCTTGCATTACATCTTTCTGATTTCCCTAGTGCCCTTCCTTTGTTTGATTAATACTACTTGCTTTCAAGCAAGGTATCAGAAAGAATAATTTGGAAAAAGAATTCTAGAGCCTTGCTTAGAGACTCTCCCTTTAAGAAAAAGGGGGAAATCCGACTTAGTAACTGTATCTTTTCTAGCAAATGCATTTTTCTCAATCTTTTTCCTTTTTCCCCTGAAGGAGACAGAAATTCTCTCTCTCTCTCTCTCTCTCTCTCTCTCTCTCTCTCTCTCTCTCTCTTTGTGTGTGTGTGTGTGTCTGTCTCTTGTCTCTCTGTCTCTCCCTCTAATCCCTCCCCCACCATGTGTTGTGGTGTGGTGTGATTAAAGTATTACTGACAATATTGGGGCTACTGAACTTTGAATGTTTAAAAGAACTACATGGCACTCAATTGGTTTGCTTTGAGAAGGAAATAGCTGGAGTTTAAGGCAAGGCTCTTGTTTTCTATTTGAAACTCCAGCACTCCTTTTGAATAACAGGTATTGCTGGAGTTGTCTGGGAAGGCTGAAGTTTTGCACAGTCATTAAATCTACTTCAGTGGTATGTAGCTCATTGTTTAACTCATCTTGAAGTTTCTGTGCTAACTACTTTGCGTGGACTGTGTGTCTTAAAGCACATCTCAACTCAGAAGCTCCACACAGTCTCGGGGCTGTCCATTCACTGATTTACTAATGCCTTAAGATTGGTCATGAATCCTGCTTGACTTCAAGCTAAAATCTTCATCTATACCTATACTATGCCCTGATTAGTCCCTTAGGGTCAACGAAAACATGAGAGAATTTTCTGTCATTCAGAATACAGAAAAAAAAGATATACTTTAATTTCCAAAGATAAATGTTAAAGATACAGTTGACATTTTGTTTTTATTATTAGCTGACATTTTTGAGAACTAATTTTGATACAGGAAGTCTGCTAAGACTTTATATACATAGCCTCACTGGGTCCTTAACCAGCACTGTGGGATGGGGGTTGAGACCATCACTACTTTGCAAGCATATTACTTTGAAGCATATTAAGCTTTATTGGAACAACATGCTCTGGTGGGTTACATTCTGGGGTTATGTAGAGAAATCAATAGGAAACCATCACCTGTTTTATAAATCCTCAAGTGTAAATACCTGTGATGTAACAATTGAAGGCATCTGAGGAGGGAAGCTCTCAATAGCACACAGTACAACACTCTTCTGCCAAATGTAGAAGAAAATGACTGTGTTGGGTGGTTCTGGTTGTGCATTTGCAGAGTAATTGCACGGAGCCAATTACCCACTCGGGGAGGGTAATAACAGTTTGGCTTTTGCAAAGGAGCCCAACTCTGTAGACCTGCTTGAGTCACACTTGAACACAATATCATTTATAAAATGTATAAATTATCTTAGCAGCTTGTTTATTTTCATATTTTAAAATTTTGGAAATTAATTTGATAGTGGTGATCCCTGGATCTTAATGAATAGATGTAGATGGGTTCCTTTTCCAAGCCACTCTTTGAAACAGTTTTCATCATTTTTTTATCTTTATTTATCTACATCACTGGTTATATATGTCTTTCCAAGTGAACTAGGTCAGCTGTGTGAAGTAAAATGTAGATGTTCCCATCTGCTCCTCTGAGAGGGTAAAGCCTCCCCTAGAAGTCTACTAAGTCTGACCCATCATCTCTATTCCCCACACCCCTGTGTCTGAGCTGAGCAAGATATATCTCCATATAGAATGGGCTCCTCTAAGCCAGTTTGTGCATTAGAGTTAGATCTTGTACACACTGCCACTGGCCTCATGTCTTGTTCCAGCCACACCATTGTCACCTATATTAAGGGAGTCTGGTTCGGTCTTATGTAGGTTCTCCATTTGTCTGGCCTGAGTCAGTGATCTCTCACTAGCTCTGGTCAGCAGATTCTATGGGTTTCCCCATCATGGTCTTGACTCCTTTGTTCATATTATAGCTCCTCCCTCACTTCAATTGTACTCCAGTAGTGTGGCCCAATGGTTAGTTGTGGATTTCTGCATCTGCTTCCATCTGTTTCTGAAAGAGGGTCCCAGCTTCCCTGGGGTTGTGGACTGTAGGCTGAGTATCTTTTGCTTTATGTCTGCTATCCACTTATGTGTGAGTACATACTATTTTGGGGGGGAGATGGGGATGAAAGTAGGGAGGAGGAATTGGGATTTAAAACAAAAAAAAACAAACAAAAAAAAAAACCTGGCTAGAAATCAACTAAACTAAAGCTGGGCATTTGTAACAAAAACAAAAACAAAAAAACAAACGAAGAAAGTAGATGCTTTACCAGGGAGTTTGTCCAATCATTTGACCCAGAGGCAGACACAGTGATGCATGCCTGTGGTTCCAGTACTTGAGAGACTGAGGAGGGGGAGGTGACACTAGAAAAACAAGCAAAAGGATATGACAGCCAGATGATTCATTTATCTATTTATCCAACCAAAAATATTTCTTGAGCAGCTACTATGTAGTTTGCAATATGCAAAACATAATCTGTCACATATGCCTTCCGGAAGTGAGGTGTGTAATGAGGTGTTAGAGGGGAGACGCAGCATATAGTTTGTTTCTGGTCCTGAGTATTGAATACACAGGGGTTGCACAGACTAAGCAACTACTTGAAACCCTACAATAACACATTTTAATTAAACCTAGCTTCAGCATTGTTTGAGTTTATTTTCTTCTCATATGTGATATGACTTTTTATTATCAACTTTAGCAAAAGAGAAAGAAAAAAGAATGAAAGAAAAAGTCCCTTATTTAAATGTAAATTTTTATAAGATAATTTTATATTTTTACTTGTGACATAAAGTCATTTAAATATAATCTCATGAAGGTTCAGTGACTTATTCTGCTGAAATCTATCTCTATCACAACTAATCCAATTTGACTGTCCTATCATACATCACCACAATTGTCACCACTGTCTCCATATTTATTAATGTGAATGCTTCAAACAGGAGAAAACTGAAAGTCTACACGAAGGCTTGTCTGATAGTTCCTACAGGGTTGGTGTGAATATTGATGGAGTCTCCACGTGTTTACTCATCTTTTTGTTCACACTCACCTATACTGCACACCTTGGACCAAGGGTTTATAACAAATACTTATCAGCTGTTAGAATAAGGTCAAGAGTATGATGAGTGCAGATTCCTTGTGGAGACTGGGTTGCTTGCATGTGTGCCAGATGATGGACCTTCTCAATACATATTACAAGCAGCATGCTGTCCAGCTGTGGCCCTTCTGAGGAACACACTGTTCAGCAGAAAAGCCACAAGTCCTACTTTTTAACAAAGATGGAAAGTATGACATTAAATTAGAAACAGTTCTGGGATTTTCAGATGTCTTTGGTTACACATTGGTTCATGAGAACTGGAAATTTGTGTTTGAGTTATTCATTAAAGTCACACAAGACTCGTAGAAGCCTTGAGAGAAAACACCTGGGGTTACTAGTGCAGCATCTTGGTTTATACAGTTCTGCAGCATCATGCTGTCTTAATCTCTTTTTTGGATCACAAAGTCATACAAAAGAAGGATTTGGTGGTGCCACCATCAAAACTTTGGTGAGAAAGGTTTCAAAGTACTTGATCACTGTGTTTCAACTAGTTCTATTTTGAGACATTCAACTATATTAGACAAAAAGCAGCATATGAATTAGAAATTATATGGAATTTACATTCTATATAATTATAGTTCTCTGAGGCTTCCCTGAAAAGTACCTCCCAAGAGTTTTCTATTTTTGGTTTCCACAGAGTGCACACATGAACATGTTATTGTGGGTAAAACATTTATTGAAACTGTGACATTCTAGTTCATTTGTTTGCTAAGGCAGAGACATACTCTATAACCCAGGCTGGCTTGGAAGTTACTATGTGACCCTACAGTCCTCAAACTCCTTCTAGGACATCTGCCCCAGGAAGTTACATTTACTATGCTCTCTGTTATATATTGACCGAAGGAATTTAAAAAAAAAAAAGTTCGTTAAATCCCAAATAACTTTTCCATTTAAAAAAATATATATATTGGGGCCATAGAGATGGATAGAATGTCAAGAGCATTGGCTGATCTTACAGAGGACCCAAGTTAGTATTACAGCATCCATATAGCAGCTCACAATCATCTGTAACTCCATTTTCAATGAATCTGAAGCCCTCTTCTGGCCTGAAAGTGCACCAGGCATGCAAGTGGTTACTAAACATATACAAAGACTAAACATCCATACACATAAAGTAAAATAAAAATATTTTAAAGCATGCATATTTACCACTATAAATGATATTTATTGTTTATATTTAATTATGAAATATATTTTTAATCTTAATATATGTTCATGATCCTTACAAAACAATTACGAAGAATTAAAAGGAATAGTTTAGGTAACCACAAAATCAGAAAGTGGGACTCAGAACACTCAACCAAGAGTTGATTTTATACATAAGAATGAAAATTTGAGCCATTAAAGCCATTTGTTGTTAGTCTTATGCTACAGACCACCAGTGTTAATCTATTAGCAGAGATCATTTTTACCTTATAGTTGGGCAAAACAGAAATTAGAAAGAGGAGGGCTCTTTCATGCTTCATTATCCAGCTCTACGTCTAAAATATCTGATTGAAAAGGGCAGCAGAAGAGCTAGGAAGAAAATGTCATGCTTTAGAGCAACCTGCAGATAGATGCATGTTAGTTTACCTTCTGAGTACTTCAGCTTCTTTGACACCAGACATTTCACATGAGCAGGCTTCTCCTGGCTGAACTCCTGCTCCCTGGCTTTAATCAATTAAAGGCTGAGCACTTTCTAATCTTCATTTCTATGTGAAGCTTCCACTGTCTGAGCACGTGTATCAAATGTTAATAAAGTTTTCCTTTCCAAAGGGTTCAAGATGACAGAACAAAATTCTTTCCTCTAAGAGCACAAAAACAGCCTGTGTTTCTGTCTACAGGTAGTGGAGGACATGCTAGAGGACGAGGAGGAAGAAGATGACAAAGATGACAAGGTAATTATCTTTCCCAGTGCTGGGTACCTGGGGGTGGGAAATGCAGACATGACGCTGTTTTCACAGACAGTTAAAAAAGGAGTTGGAGTGTCTGAGTCCAGAAAATTGGACAGTGCTGTTTATCATCCTAACAATGCCACTGCGTGTTGCAAAGAGGAAGAATTGGCTATAAATCCTCTCTGCTTTTGTCCAGAGCTGGGTCAAATATTTTTCTGCCAGGAAAAAAAAAAATCAGCTTGTCTGAAACTTGATAGCTATTGTGAAGATAACAGCAGTGACAACTGTTTTTGAAGGGCAAAAATTTGTCCTATCTTGAGTGTTACAAATCAGTCTACGCTTTGGGAGGAAGAAGGCGGGTGTGAAAAAAAAAATAGTAGCCTGTGTGAGTTGGATACGGATAATGTCATCTATAATTTTCAAAGAATTGCTCAGCAAAAGAATGTGTATGGCGTGCTTGGGAGGACATTTGAATAGCCATGTGCTCCCTGCCCTTGCCTTGACTATAATGTCACCATGCCTCCTCCATCACCAAAGACCTTTGGAGAGACTTCATTTCATTTGCTAGTTGACTTGGGGATGCTGACCACAGTAAACAGCAGCTAATCTCTGGCTTGTTTGGGTTGGTGCTTCCTTGGGGAGAGGGAGGAATTAGTATGACCTTGTAACCCAACAGAAGTGTCTAGGGTTAAGACAGCAGCTCTCTCCTGCAAGCAAAATAGAAACTCTAGCATTGTGATCTCTGGGCATCTGCACATTTAAAACTTAACATATCTGCGGATGAGATAAGGAGGCAGGGGAGAAAATATTAATTACTTGAACTTTATTTAGCATACAAAACCAGATTTTGGCCTCCATCAAAAATGAACCACTGTTACAGTAAGCAATGATGTTTTTGAAGAAAGAAAACCAGAGCATCTTAATTTACGCCCTTGACCTTCGACTCCAGAGGAGATGTACAGTTAAACCTCAGTAGACGAATTTGTGTTGGAAGCAAGCATTTGAAATGTCAAAGGGGGGGGATGTCACACTCAGTACTTCACCTCACCAAAAAAAAAAAAAAAAAAAAAATCTGTTTCCAGACTCACATTTGATGTTTTCGGTAGGGTGAAAACACACATGCTGACCCCCTCCTTTCCTCTCATGCGGCTTCAAATGCTTTTAAATTGATAGAGCTTTCGTGTGAAATGCCTCCTGTACCTCATTCAGTCATTAGTATCATGATCAAAATAACCTAACAAAATCTCTTGTCTGCAAACACACACACACACACACACACACACACACACACACACACACACACGATTGTTTTCAAAGTTAAATAATATGAGCATACACCCCTGGCAATAAATGGTCTGATTTATTGGTAAGGTCAGTTGTAGAGCTGTGGAGAGCCTGTACTTTAACTCAACATGCCGACTCTGAATCATCAGTTCTTTGCTACTAAAGACTGAGCTGCCATCCATTTATGGCTATTCTCCCTTGCTTGTTGCTGCTTTATTATTAAAGCCACCATAAAGATCCATCCAGCAGCAGGCGTTTCCCTAGAAATGTTAATAAATAGAAACCCAGTGAAGTCTACTTCTTCCATGTCTCTCTGCCGGAAGCCAACCCATACCTTTTTAGCCAGTTTGTTGGTATTGTGCTCTTCCTTTTCTTGTTCATTTTTTAATAGAGAAGATCTTAAGTGTAGGCAACAAATAGACATCCCTGGTTAACCAGCTCACCAAAGCACGCAGATATTGATTGAACACATCTGCATGGCAATACCAACTCTCGGGAGCTGTTATACGTATTAAACCAGTGGTTGGCTGTCTGAAATTGACACCTACTTCTAACACATTTTCAGCTCTAGTTACCAAAGTAAAATGGAAGTGAGTGCTTCAGTTACTTACTATTCGAATTTCAACTGAATTTGCCTATAGCTGATCTATAGGCAAGCAATGTTTTCATTGTAAGCTGTTGTTCATAACCCAGCCCTTTATTTGAATGCTAAGTAAGGGTGGGGCCCTCCCCTTTTTTGACCATACTGAAATCGATAGTATGAAAATAGTGTGTTAACCTAAAAGAAAATCTCAAGTGTAGTAACTTGCAAAAGACTTTGAAGCTCTCTTAGACTAGAAATATGGAGATGAGGAAGGATACTGCACGGGTTCACTAACCAGCTTCTGGCTGTTGCTTGGCTCTCACAGAGTATACATTGTAAGTCTTAGCTATCAGTGTGTCTCAATGGGAGAAGAGTCATTTCCTACTTTAAATTTTTCATTGGTTCCTCCATTTCCAGTTTGGGTGTAGAACCATGCATAATGGAATCTCATGAAAAACCTAATGTGTGTTTCACCATACAAACAGGTACTGACCTCTAGCTCTCATTATTTCTCATTTATTTTTCTGTTTTCTCATGTGGTATAACAGTGGGGTCAGGTCAATGGGTCCTCTTATAGGATAAAAGTAAAGAAGATTAATAAATGTGCCAAAGCCTCACTTTAATTGAACCTGAAGCATATGTTGCAAGTATGTAAAATATGTCCCAGATGTTCCGATGGGGCCAGTGTCTTGCTTTCCCTGGTTGCCACAAGGTGGCTATTAGTCCTGTAACCTTTGGACTTGGGGGTAAATGGGGTATTACGTGGCATAGAATGTGAGCACCTGTTTCTCATTCAGCAGAGACCCCTGGCAGTCTTCACCTAAGCGCGTGCACATGTTTTCACTTAGCGGATTGTTGGGTGATTATGAAAAGTGTCTTTCTTTAGAGCAGCATTATTAGTCACTCAGAATGAATGGGCAAGTCATTGGCTACTTGACGAGGTCCTGTGGGCATAAGCTGAAGTCCTTCATTTCATCTGAGCATGGAGGATTTTCCCTCAGCATAGTTACACACGTAGAAAAGATAGAGGCCTAAGAAGTTGAAGCCCATAAAGATATACTTGGTAATAACTTTTCTCTAGTGCCGGCTTTAATACCTGGGAAGACATTGGTTAAAGTTGGTAAAAGGTTAGGTGTGGTTCACCTGGATCACCAGATTTTGAGACTTTTAAGTTCTTCTTATTGGTGTCATCCTCACTTTTAACTAAAAGGTTTGTCCTTATTTAGCTCAGTGTTGTGGTCATTCTAAAACCCACTCTCCACATTCGTTTAAATATAAATTTAAGAGCCATTTCTTTTAATCCAATTCCATGGTTTTCACAAAGGCAGAAAACATGTGTTTTAAATGGTGTGCTTTGCATGTTAATCGTGGCCTTCTAATATTTTCAATCACCTGCATGCATAGTATAAGAACGCTGTTAAGCTATGCTGGGACAGCATTATTTTCTGAATTAACCATGACACATCCTGAAGTTCCATTTTCTGTAGAGCCTTCTCTCAACCCTCAACCACAAAGCTCCAGTCTGATATGTTTTCCGACCCAACACCAATTCCTTTCTCTACTAGACTATAAGCAAAGTAAGGGTTAACTAAGTTTTCTAGGTGGTGCTGATAGCACCACCACATCATATAATATCAGCAAGCATATAATCTTGTTCACACCACCCTGTATAACTATACACTGGCCAGTCTGCATAACCTAGACATCAATTAACAAAGGGCAGTCCTCTTTTGTAGTTTAAAAACTTCCAGCATGCTTCCCACGGTACACCCTGCACGGGTAATAAGATCCAGCTGTGGCATCAGGAAGCAGAAGGCAGAATGCTGGGTTCCAGCAGGAAAAATGTGAATTCAAATGCATTACATTCTAGTAATGTTTATTGATAAAAGATATGAATGCATTCAGACATTTATGCTCACACAGTTTCTCCCTTTCTTCAGCTGTTATGTCAAGGTGACTTATTTCCAGACAGCTAGATGCAATGAATGCAACATATTTGAGTTACTTCAAAATATACAGTGTTTTCTCTAATTCTTGAAATTTGTAGTTTTTGATTTGATTCTCCAACCCAAACATGTATACTCTGTACCCAAGATCCATTCATCTCTGCATCTTAAGCTGGCAGTGAGGGAGGAAAGAAAGAGATAATTCTAAGTGATATAAGAGAAGATTTTAATCTGACAAAATTGCATTTTCCAGTTACATTCAGTGAAATAACTTCATGGTGGGGAAGCCAATTGAGGCTGTAGAGAAAGGCTAAATGAAAGGTGACTAGGAAAATTCTCTTTTAAAAAAATCCCAAATCACATTCAACTGGGACACCATTGTATTCCTTTATTCACTTCCTGTGTCTGTATAACAAAAGCACCACAAACTTAAAGGCATAAAACAAGTTGTTGCTGTTGCAGTTTTGTGTTCAATAGGTCAGAAATACAGGCATAGCCAACTGGTTCTCTGTCCACAGTCTGATTCCCAGGGGCCAGTCAAACCAAGTTATCATCTGCAGGATTTAGAAAAGAATCCACTTCAAATGATGTTTCAACCTGTTGGGAGAATCCGGTTCCTTGTAAGTGTAGAACTGAAATCCTTGTTTTTGTGTTACTTCTTTCTGCTCCTAGTTGCCTAGCTGTCTGTAAAGAAATCAGTGGAGAATCTCTCTTGGGTTCCCCACACTTCAGCCCTATCTAAGAGCTCACATGATTACATCAGGCCCACCAAAGATAATTTCCCTTTCTTAAAGAAAACTGTCATGAAATGTGACTTAATCATGGTAATAACTATCCTGTCATACTCATAAGTGGGGGCAGGGAGATTAAACTTGATATAAAAATAGAAAGAGAGAACTATGACTTCAATATTAGAATTCTGAATATGGCAGCTAGGTAGACCTGTCCATTGTCTCTAGTGGAAGTGGAACAATCTTTGTGTTCATTGTTGAGAGCCACTGTTAGATTAGGTGTCAGCTGTCAGACAATAATAAACAAAGGAAGCAATCAACCTAGGCAGCCTAGATATGCATTTGCAAAGATTATAGCAATATTAGGTATTATAGAATATGTGTTCATTATAAAAATACAAGTGCAATGTGTCCAGCTTGCTGATTATCAAATTCAGTTTGGAGTAAAGGGTGATTTAG